TACAATTTTTTCTTTACAAATTTCTGCTCCCTAGACTTTTTTTGGCTGTCAGTTCTCTGTATTTTATTCTTCCCTCGTAAGTTAGATAACTTACTGCACCTTCCACTCTTCTTTTTCCCTGTTTTTAAGTCTTTGCTTTCACGTCGAGTTGCACTTTTTTGCAGAATTTGTCCGATCCTGTTATCGTGCTTAGTAAAGTTCTTTCTTCGTCGGCTGTTCTCAGATTTTCTTCGTTTGTTACCTCTTTAATCTTTTTCATTCGCCGCCCTGCACCACATGTAAAATGTCCCTCCACATAGTTTTCGTCGGCTTTAGAATCCATGTTTCCGATCTGTATAGAGCTTCGCTAGTTCTTTCTTCGTCGGCTTTTCTCAGATTTTCTTCGTTTGTTACCTCTTTAATCTTTTTCATTCGCCGCCCTGCACCACATGTAAATTGTACCTCCAGATAGTTTTCGTCGGCTTTAGAATCCATGTTTCCGATCTGTATAGAGCTTCGCTAGTTCTTTCTTTGTCGGCTTTTCTCAGATTTTCTTCGTTTGTTACCTCTTTAATCTTTTTCATTCGCCGCCCTGCACCACATGTAAATTGTCCCTCCAGATAGTTTTCGTCGTCCTTAGAATCCATGTTTCCGATCTGTATAGAGCTTCGCTAGTTCTTTCTTCGTCGGCTGTTCTCAGATTTTCTTCGTTTGTAACCTCTTTAATCTTTTTCATTCGCCGCCCTGCACCACATGTAAATTGTCCCTCCACATAGTTTTCGTCGGCCTTAGAATCCATGTTTCCGATCTGTATAGAGCTTCGCTAGTTCTTTCTTCGTCGGCTGTTCTCAGATTTTTTTCGTTTGTTACCTCTTTAATCTTTTTCATTCGTCGCCCTGCACCACATGTAAATTGTCCCTCCAGATAGTTTTCGTCGGCCTTAGAATCCATGTTTCCGATCTGTATAGAGCTTCGCTAGTACTTCACGATACCTTCTATAAAGGTTATAAACATAGTTGTATGCCTATGATAAAATAAAATAATAACCAACCTGGTAGGTTTTATAATGATATCAACTCGAGAACTCTTCTTGAGAATAAACTAAAGTTGCTGATCAGTGAGGTTAAATTGTGTACATTTTGTTCGAAATTAGGCTACATTATGATAATAACAAAAAGTAAATTATTTATGTAATTAGCTAACTAATTAGTTAACCGGCATTTATTCATCGTTTATATTTTTTTGAACCAAATATAGCTTTTTTTTATTTTTTACTCTGTTCCCATTCATCAATCTTAAGTACTACGAGCATTGTTCTTTGGCAAACAAGCCAATTGACCTTATATAAAAAATTGACGTTTACAGTTGTATATGCACAATTTATGAAGGCCAAATCCCTACTTTTGAATCAATTTTCTAGATTTATTACATAAATCGATGTTTACAATTGTGAAGGCACGTTTGTGAATATTAGAGAAATACGTGCGATCGGCGTCGTTGCGGTGTATGCATTAGCACGTGGGGCAGCTGGCCTGTATCCGCCTGATACACCCAACATCTGTTTCCAGAGTTGCATTAGGGTATAAAATTACTAAATTAGATTAAATTGGCATTTATTTTATTTATAATTTTGTTTTTACAACTCTATGCAATTCGTGGAGATAATGCATCAGCATATATTGTTTTCGCCTAATTGTACTTTGCACAAAGTTTTATGAACTTTCCTGTGGCATTTTGCCAAAGTGCTTGCAGAAAGTTAAAATTAAATATAAATCTGTTGTCATAATTCCCCATTTTTAGTAGCATTTTGCTTATTTTGAAATTAAGCGTGTGTTTGTTAATGATCATATGATAATGCCTACATCCGTTCTAATTTTACTCACAGTTTTCATCATTTCATTCATCATTTCCGTAGACTTTTTGCGTTGGGTTTTCTTATCCCATGAATATCATTTCTAGTAATTAGAATTACATATGATGTGAGACACGGTGCCGTGATTTGACTTCACATAACAGTGATTCCTCCGAGAAAAGGCCATGGTTGTAGAACCTTTTGTCGCAAAAATAATAAAAATTATAATAAAATCTTTTTTTATAACTAAACTATACATTACTTTCGCAGTGAATGAATTGAGACATATTAACATAAAAGTTAATTCAAATTGTTTACTCACTTTTCAAAATATAAACTTGTTAAATCATAATTTAAACAAATTTTAATGACATGTTCAGTTTTAACATGTACAAATCATTTAAAAGCGAGTTTACTCCCAATGATAAATTATTGTTTTTTATGTATATTTTTTACATAACATTGCTATCTTGATAATAAAATTTTAATATCAGATGAGTATTTGTGAAATTAGATTTTTAGAATAATTAAGGAAGATGCAACTTTTTTTTGAACAAGGGGGCCGTTCGAAAAGGTTGGAAATCACTGTGTTGCGTACTTTACATTATTTTTTAGTATTTCAATTAAAATAAATATGAAATAATGGGTATTAAAAATAAATAACTAGTTTTCAGGTTATATACTATTTTATTTTAAATTTATATTTTCTTCGAATACTTTATTTACTTTACAAAATTATTTCTCTTTATTTAAATATTTTAAAAAGTTGTATAAAATTATTTATTATATTTACTTAATTGAATTTATCGCTACTACACTGTTTTTTTTTGCCTAAGTTACACTGCTGTACGAGAGAACAGCCGCCCAAGAATATGTTGCATAATATATTTTAAAAATTTACAAACATCATAAATAAAAAAAAATATAATATCAAATCTTACACCTATAAAGAAAAAAATACAACAATAAATTGAAATTGTCAGTAATTTAATTCAATGTGATCAATTTTGATCAGCACACGGGTTGTCTATAGGCGACACTCGTATCGAAGGTGTCACAATTTTTTTTGTTCAGAGTTTTTTTTAATTCATTGTTTTATTGACTTTGCATACGAGTATACATTGGCAATTTATAATTTACTCAAGTTTAATCATAATCACTTCATCTAAACATTTATCTATCACTATGACTACATAATATCTACACAGGCGGTTTTACACTACTTATATAGAAGTCTTATTCTTATGCATGTCTCATTTATATTAATTTATAATTTTATCTTATTGGAATAATATCAGTATATAGGGCACCATATATTTTTTTATCAGTCAACAATATTTTAAAATTAGTTGGAATGGAGATTTTTTGCCTTATTATCTCCTTCCATAGTTCTTGTCTCTCCTTTTCCCATATTTTACATAACCTGATGGCGTGCTCTGCATCTCTTTGGGGTTAGAATATTATTTGTTTTAAATAAATTATTAAGGTTGGTCACCCCTGTCGGTGGCATATGGGGATTGTCATTGCGTTTGCGATGTGGTCACTGGGCAGACAATGACTCACTGTTCTTTGTTACGGAGTCGCTCACGTGAAAAGCGACTCATCGGCAGTACCTCTCGTTTTTTACAAGGCTGATCATAATTTATTTTTATCTAAATTATCAATATCAATATTTAGAAGAGTATCAAATATAACAGCAGCGGCACTTTTGTATACCTAATTGATGAACAATTAATTTGATAATAGAACTATTACCAAGGCTGATTACTTGCAATCATGCCTTATTTTCACCTAAAACATCAATATTTAGATCTATAATATATAGCAACGGCGGTATTTGCAATATATCTAATTGGTGCAAGATAACAATATTTATATTTATATTAATAATGTGCTAATAATAATTATTATTATTATTAATGGACATAGCTCCTATGACAATTGACCAGAACAATAGGAGGCATAGTATGTATTAGTAAGATGTAGGGCGGGTCGATTTAAAGGTGACTTAGGCACATATGATTTTCGGATTTTAGAGATCAAAATAAGACGAGGATACTTTGCTAAGAGGAAGATACTTTGCTGAGGAAACCATACCTCTAAAATGAATTCTGATGTCCCGTGCATTGACCCAAAAATAAGGGTTAAATGTTGAATAACCTCTCAGGGGGGGTCCAGGGGGTGAACCACGGGCATGGATAGATTGGCCTTCCAAAGTTAGTGGGGGTCGGTCATACATTTGGACGCGATTGGGAATGGGAAAAATGGAATTTTTCCAATTTCATCCCTTATCTTTGGGTCAATGCACGGGACATCAGAATTCATTTTAGAGGTGTGGTTTCTTCAGCAAAGTATCTTATTTTGATCCCTAGTATCCGAAAATCATGTGTGCCTAAGCGACTTTTTTTGGCCCATATAAATCGACCCGCTCTAGTAAGATGGGAAGGTAGTTTTGTTGTTATTTTTCTTAGAAGAAAGTGAAGAAGCGAAAGATATTTGTAAGATTATTGTTATATTGGAGTTGAAAGATTATTGATTAAGATTTCCCTGAATACAGAAAGTGTAGTTTACATTATTCAATCCCAGTGATAGATTGAAAACGTCTACCTTTCGAAGAGGTAAATCTTTATCTCCAAAAAAAGACTGCTATCAGTGTCGTCTTCAGTTTACATATGTTATCGCAATAAAGTCAGACTTGTCTTATATCTGATTTGGAATACATATTGAATTTTCACGGCAGAGAATTCGAATTTATTTTTGATGGGAACTTTAGCATTGTCTGCGGATTTAGAGGTCGTGGAACCCAATTATAAAAAAAAGATATATATGAAAAAAAATGATGTTGTTGCTAACGTGGGATGCGAATAGTGAATTAACGCATAACGAATGTAATAAAAATATATTTCTTATGTATAAAAATTTGATTAATCCAAGTTGACGTATTAATTGCAACTAATTTCTAGTTGTACGTCAATTTATAATCCTCTCTAATTATGAATTTCAAATACGTTCGAGTCATAAAATTTATAATGTGTACTTTTTACTTCGTCACAATCGTCAGCATTTTATCGCACGTGTGTTGGATTACAATTTGCTGTTTTCGTATCAGTTCATATGTTTGCTCGGACAAATAGAGAAATGCTCGTCAGTTGTCGAGGATCAGTCTCTCTGTTTGTCCAAGGACCGAAGCTTAGTGTACAAATAATTTTTATCAATACTCAGATAATAGATTTTGTGGATTTACAACGAAAAAATATAGTGGGATGAAAATCTTATGTAACGGTTCGCCAAAGATAATGGACATATACGTAATAGAATATGAATTGAGCGGGCAGGTTATTAAATTATATTATAAAAGATGTTCATTTTTCTAACCCTCTTAAAAATTATTTCATAATGGTTGATTAGATGCCTAGATGCGTTACTTCTAGCATGAATTTTTAAAATTCTTTAGAATTTTTTTTGTATTTTTCAAGAAATTTATCGTTCTGGTGTTACTTTTGTTAGTACGATTTGGTATGCTGACGTTTTTTATAAATAATTTGTTTAAATTGGTGGTTCATCTTTAGACCGTCAATTTGTTTTCAAAAGTATTGAATCTCATTTGATAGTTGCGCTTAAATTTATCTGTATTGATTTATAGAATTATATAGTCAATATATAATTATATAGATTATATAGATTTATATAATTATATGATTTAAAAAAATGCATTAACATTAATACGCTTTATTTATACGTTTCGATCATTGAGCAGTTCCTACCAAGAAAATCAAAAATAAGAAAATAAAATAAGAATTATTAAATACAGAAATGTACTATAAAAAATGATCCAACATGGATCCAACATTTACCATAGAAAACTAATACTTTGTTCGAAATGCAGAAAATTTAAATTAATTCAATTTGTCTTTTAGAACTTTTTATATTAATTATTTTTTTTGAAAATTTATTTTGAATAAATCATTTTTTTGTAATATTATTAATTTAACTTGCATATTCGAACTTTTTATTTTAAATATTTGTTTGAAAATTGAATTTTTAATAAATAGATTTTTTTGTAAAATTTGCACTATGCACTATTAGGCATCATTATTGTATTGAACATATTTGGGTGCTATTCTATTTTTTGTTTATTTTATGATATATTTTTTATATTATTATATTTTGGTGTTCATTATTAATTAGAATTTTTCTACATTTTTATAATATAACTGTTTTATTTATTCTCGTTGGTGTGAACTGCTGAATAATGACACGAATTTTAATAGTAATGCATCTTGAATTTGACGATTTGGCTGGTATATCTATCAACAAATATGTTTAAACGTCTAATATAATTAGAAAATATGACAATATATAAATTAACACAAAATGAATTATAAAACAATTATTATACCTATCGTCATATTTTATTACGACTTAATCAAGATTAATTTAGGTGCGTGCAATTGCGTTTTAATTTGCAAGAAGAAATACACGTATATCTATACATCGACCACCAAGGCGTTTTCCAATATCATCTGCATTGTATAATTAGTTTTTTATTCAGTAGAACATTAAATTATTATGCTCATTTGCACGAAAAGAAAATAATTCGATGCTTTGCAATACCAGACAACCGTAATGAAACTAACGGTCTAGGTATTGTGAGCGAGAATTATTTTTTGTAGTTAAATTTATTTATATTAGATAAAATGTACTTTATTTTTTATATTGATTTTTTTATTGATTTTTCTATATGTTTTGTTATCTTTTTCGTTTTATTTTCCTTTCATGTTACAAAACAGACAGAAATACAGGACGAAGGGTCAGGATAAATTTTATCAAGGATTATTTGAAGGATCCTACGAGGAGATTATTGAAGATACGAAATAATTTAAAATAAATAAAATACTTTAAATTGAGATAACATATATTTGAACTATTTTTGGCAAAACTTATATCCTCAAAAATACTCTAACTGAATACTCTAACATGCCAGATATGATCAAAGCTGGTATAAGGCCCTTAAAAAATCATAAGGGCTGGTGATATTTTAGTCTTCCAAATTATTACGATGTATATAATCGCGACTAGAATTAGGTGACAGTTTTATTTTGAATGTATTGTGTGTGAATTTTGAATTGTGAAGAAGACGAAGAATGGGTAATACTACAACTCACGAACCTCTGGAAGGCAGATTTACCAGGGGCGGACTTGCTGCTAATCATAATGGAACGGTAAGATTATGACTCGATATTAATTAACAAGACACTATAATCAACGACCATGATAATTATCAGATTTTAACAAATGTGTATTGTTTCGTCCTGATCAGGTTAAAACTAGTTCAAGTTTTAATTTCATTCCTGAATCATGAATGTTATGGCATCATGTTGCATGGATGCATGTTTTATATCATTGTATATAAATGCATTGCCTTACAATTATAAGTGCAACTATTACCTTGTTGTTGTTGTTGAAATTTCATTTGGATAACAAGTTCATTTTATAACAAAATCGTTTCAGGATAATAATAATTAATTTGTAATCATATTATTATAGAAACTCGATTTTCATGCGATGGTAATAAAATATATAGGACTTCACAATTTTTTACTTGATTATTCCTATTCGCGTTACTAATTGCAAATTATGAAAGTGTTAATTACTTGCGGTTATATCGATATAAATCTCTTGAATTTTATTGCAATAAATCTTGTAATGGCATTCGAAATAAATCATATTTCAGTAATGGTTTTGTGCACATCCTCCGGCAGAGTTACTAATGGATGTTAATGGATTGCAAGTGAGAAATGTTCTAGCGTCTTCCAAAATGGGCTTGGCAGAAGTGCTGCTAACTTATTTAATTCTAAAATAATTTAAATTGATGGAAGTGCATCTATTTCCTTAAACTAATTTAGAGCGAACTTGAAATTCACTATAGTAATTAATTACTGAAAACTTAAGTAAATAATCACGAGATTAATTGCATATCGTCAGCGTGTTACCAATAGCATATACATACTAATATATTGCTAAGGAATTATAAAATGATACTATTAAAGATTACACGAACATCTATTCTAATTTTGAATGTATCAGTACTCACCTACGATTTTTTTCACATATTCCAGGTATCGTTAATATTCAGCATTTTTTCATTGATTGAAGCGAACTATTTCAGTATGTTTATTAGCTGATTGTAATAATAGTTCATATTTGTATTTATGAAATCGACTGCCTTGTAAGGAATATGTGGCACACAGATTCAGCAATTTTAATGTTATACTTAACACTGTATTTATGTATGTTTTACTACGTATTTCGAATTTTATTTTTCAAATGATTAAAAGTACTTTTTCGAAGGATTTTATCTCGGACATAAAATCATCAATAAATGGTTTTCTGTAATGGCGTGCTAACGCCAACACTCGTTTGAAAAATTACTATTTTGTTACTATTCCTATCTATGAAAGAAAAAGTTTTGCATTAAAAAGTATAACAAATATAAGAAACTTTGGAAATACCAACTAAAATAATTTCATAACGACTACAACTGAGTTTGTATACAATTTTTTATTAGTTTTTCTTGCTGGTTGCACGTTTAATTATAATAAATTACTTTTTGCTGGGTTTTCATAAACCAAACCACTAAGGCAATTTCGCAGTATGTTACTTGTGTTTTTGTTATTAAATTATTAAATTATACATGATAAAATTGATTACGTTTGGAGGAGAATGTTCGCAAACAACGATGCGCAAGGTAATAATATATTAGTTTGAAAATATTGAATTTGAAGTAATGAAATATTAATTTTTATAATTAATGCAGTCGATCCTAGAATATAGCAATATTTTGCCAACACATTTTTGGATATTCAAATTGCAAACATACAGATTACCCAGGGGCAATGGGGAGGAACTATGTTTGTAAATTATTGCTGAATTATGCAAAAAAAAAAAACTCAATAGATTAATTGAAACTTGATAGTCATTTAAGGTAAAAAGTGCCAGGAAACGATAGAAATTATGAGATTTTGATTATTATGCAAAAGAATTACTAGAAAGGAGATTTTATCGTTTTTTTTCAATTTGCCATTTGACCCCCAATTTCGACTTTAGATTTGTGTTCAGAGGTAAAATCTTCATTGGAAAACATATGCCGCACACCCAATATAGACAAGTTTTTTTTATTTTGCGGACCTGTGTTATTATTGTAAAATTTTTAACGATTAATGAGTTTGTCAACCAATGGTCGTTGTTTTACTAGTCAAAATTGAAAACTAGTGGGGCGCATGGCATCTAGCCTTAAGGCAAATTGCTGGAACTTTCCGTACCAAATATTATTATTTTTTTTTAAAAACGATGAACATTTTTGAAAAAAAAATACTTCGAAAAAATTAGATTTTTGAGGAACTAGGAATTTGACAAAAAATTACTTTGAAAAAAAAAATTTGTTTTTGAAAAAAAAAACGTATTCTTTATTTTGACATATTTTGGAAATTCTGAACTTTGTTTCAAAGTAATCGTGCTGCTTTAACTGCATAGAGACAAAATGTCAAAGCGCGTAAGCTCCGCGTCGCCGTCTAACGAATAAACATTGGTACAGAACCCATAGGAATGCAAACAAAATTCATACTTATTGTTAAAATCTCTATAAAATATCTGATAATTTGATGTGCATATGTCTAATGATCATTTTTGACCGCCAAATGGCATTTTTTTTACTTTTTTATTAGATCTCCGAAACCGCTAGACCTGCTTTTATGAAACTTTGATCAATCAGCACGTCTCCTTATCAATATGAATCGAATGTTTTTTGAACTATTCAAATCGGTTGATCGGTGTTCCCGAAATCGTGGACGAAAATTTGTATCCGCACACACACATGCACACACACGCACATACATCCATTTTTTCTAAGGTATTCCAAAATGTTCAGAAACCTTTGAAACGTAAAGATATATGAAAATTTTCATTTTCGATTTTTTTGCGATTACTATAACTTGCCCTACGGGAAGTTAATAATTCATCTGGGCATTGCTACATCTAATTAAGCAATATATGATCAATATTATACAAATACAGAATGATTAATGGTTTATTTGCCATTTAAATACAGCATAAAAACTGAAGTTCGCAAAAGCTCAAAAGACGGAAGTCCCGATTGCTGTTAAAAATAAAAGTACAACTAAAAAGCTCAAATAAATGCGCATATGATCTTTTTGCGACCTGGTTTCCAACTAAATCGTTCGTCTACTATATCGCCGGATTTTCCTGATCCCAGGCCATTTTGTCACTTCAGAATGCGCCAATTTCCATCGCGTTTTCATACGTTTTCTGATCACGTGTGACTATGTAATCAGAGCACGCTGAGCTTGACGTGCGTCGCTTCGGCCGTGCCGAACTTTCAGCGACGCGGCCTACCGCATTGGTTCAAGGTCGGCCCGGGCGCGGAACGCCCGAGAGCTTTTTAGATGGAACATGTACATTGTACACCCTCTGTGGAACGGAAAATATTTTCGCGCCTGGAGTAGGTTTAACGGTTGACTATTTTATAATTTACCATCTAAAATAATTATTACAAATACTATTATTAAAATTAGCTAATAAACATACATATAATAAAAAAGTTCACTTTAATCAATGAAAAGATGCTGAATATTATCCATACCTGGAATATGTTAAAAAAAATCGTAGGTGCAATCTGGCAAATTAAAAATTAAAATAGATATTCATGTAATTTTTAATAGTATCATTTTATCGTGGTGTTAATGAAGCAAAGCTTAAAGGTATAGTCACATATTTATATTTCCTGTAACTTAAGCACTTTTTTTTAAATTCTTTATCCTGAAAATAATAAACTATATTTTGATAAGAGTAGATAGCGCTTTCAGCGTGTTCTGTTTTCTTTCTAGTTTTCTACTCTAGCAAACTCTTGCAATTCGTGTTTCGTCGATATTTATAAAAATATATTTTGAAAATGCCACAAAAAGCAGTTATAAATCAAACTAGGTTTAACAATTTTTCATTTTGAAATTGTGTCTTCATGCATAATAGTTGTATCAGGTGGTACTTTGTCGCATTATTTGATTAAATATAAGTTTAGAAGTTTTTCTTAAATATAAGTTTAGAAGTTCCAAATATTTCTTTTTGCGGAAACTAAATTTATTTTTTTTTAATCACGTTACAACTGCTAAATAATTTAACGTCTAGTAACAATCATGAACAATAACATAAATTTAAATAAAAAGTGTACAAAATAAACGATAGAATTTTCATTAAAATGATATCCGTGAAATGTATAATAATTAAGTTTGAAAATTTTGACCGATGTAAATTGATTTGCAATCTAAACAATTAATTTGATAGATATGATTTCTAGGAGTTTGGTTGAGTTTGATATTAGAAGTAACTATTATATATATATATATATATATATATATAATATAATATATATATATATATATATATATAATATTCTAAACTTTGATAGTTACCTTCACCATCGATCCCTCCATATCTATAAATAGTTTAAAGTAATATTGCCATTTTAGATTTCGTTCCAAACGTCATCAGTGTCGGTCATTCAAGAATATCGCCGTGAATATTTTATCATTTATTAACCAAATATAAATAGCAAATTGGACATGACACGCTCGTTATTATATGACGTATTTGAATTGTAATAGTTTTCTGCTATTTCTGTCAGGTTGATAGTGAGAATAAAATGCGAAATAAAATACTTACGTACTTGGATTGTCATCATCCAAGTCAAAATTGTCAAAATCAGTTAAAAATTACTTTATATATATATTTTTTAAATTTATAAAACAAAAATATGGATGTCATTTATGTAGATGATATTTAAATTTTTACTTTCGTACAGTTTTAATAACCATATAATCATGCATCAGCTTGATGGATTGCTGCAACTTTTCATAATCAGATCACAGGTCTGGAATCTTTGTAACTAATATCTTAATTATTTCGCAAAGGTGCTGCTAATTAAAGATTCTTGCTAATTATCATTAACACTGCAAGTGTTCTATTATGAGCATAGTAATTATAATACAAGGTTTACTTTGGAAAGATACCATTATTTATAGAAAAATCATGAAACTAGATGTATCTATTTTTAGATATATCTTAATCTATAGAAATGCTTCGTTTCTCGATAAAATGCCAATTACGATAGGTTATAACCAGATCTATCAGGTTTATTCTAATCGAAAGAAAAATGAAGATCTTTTGAAGCAGAAAATGCTTGTACATACAGCATCTCATATTAAAAGATTTTGTATATTATACAGTAGAACCTCGATTAACCGGACTAATTGTTGTCGATGGGCATTCGGATAAGGGATCATTCAAGTATTACTTAAGCAGATTTATTACAATTATTTAACCCCCCCCCAACCCCCTTGTCAGCAAAAGTAAGCAAAGCTCTTACTCCCTACCCCCATGCTTACGTAAACATTTTGCAATTAATGTATTGTTTCTTTAATATTGTAATTATTAGGTTATAATTATAATTTTAAAAATAAGAAAATAGATTTAGGCTGTAGAGATTTTACTGATATGGTATTCAACATAGGGTAATAAAATTATTATAATCTTACGAACATAACCAACTTATTTTAAATTTTTGGTACTGGCAAAGGCAATATAAGGTTGCCATTCGGTAAAAAAATAAAAATACTACCTATGACGTAATCATCATCCAGACTCCCCTGCCCCCCATGTCAAACTAAAATAAGCAAGTCAACAACCCCCGCCCCCCTATAGTGCTTATGTAGTACTTGAACGGCCCCTAATCGAAAATTCGGATAATCGAATGTATGAAGGATAATTTTTTTTTTATTTTTTTTTATAGCAAGCTATACAAAGTACATTCAGCTACATTTGTTACAGTTATATATTATTTGACTGCGTGAGAAGGATCGCTATGAAGAATAATGATGTGTATTTATCAAAAATAACAATTACATACATAGATATCAACGAAAATCAATGTTTATTAAGAAATTAATACTTCCTTATGCATGTACGATTTTTTTTTTCGATTACATTACATACATGAACTAAATTGTAGCATTAATCGTCCAAAAATTCGAATTGTAGGTGTGTCCATTCATATAAATTCGTATAACCGAGGTCCGTATAATCGAAGTTCTACTGAATTAAATCAACTCTACAAATTATTGCTTTTACGTAACTCGTGATAATGCATTATTTATATGCATTATATTGTAATTTTAATGCATTTATATTGTAAATTTTGTATTTTTCCATAAATTTTAATATCAATTATGACCATATAATTATTGTCAATTATTTTCTATTATTGTACGATCATTTATGATTGCAATATAATTATTACTAACCGTTGTTTATATGCGCATAAATTGAACTATTTGTTATATTACTTTTTTGCTAATGTGAGATTTGTTTTGAAAGCGACTCTATTTATATCGGATAAAATTCTGCTAAATTATATAGCAATTATGGTAATTCCCATGTTTCAGGTTTAATTTCTACATACCATCTACTTGTCATTTTGTTTCTGAAAATTCTATGTTATCATTGTACTAAAAACTTACTAATAAATTACTACTGTACACACGTCCACATTCAATTTTATATGTTGATTTACAAATTTGTCAAAAATGATGATTCACAATAATAATTGTTATATATTTCGTCTATTAGCAAAGCGGCGGCCAGCAAGGCCAGTCGGCGGGCAGCGGTCAGCAGAAGTCGGCGCGCAGTTCGCTGCGTCAGTCGCGCTCCTCGCCGCGCAGGATGGACCGGCTAAGGCGCAGCTTTCGCGACTCCTTCCGCAGGCGCAAAGATCGCGTACCGGAAAGCAGTAAACCGCATCAGGTGAGAGGAAATTAGAAATATTTATAAAAGATTATAAAATTTCTAACACCAGCATTGATAGATGTAATAAAATTTCCGATTTATGTGTTCTATTTGATTCTGGTTTGTTTTTCACAAATCATGTAACTGATATTTGTAATAGAGCACATCAATCTTTAGGTTTGATACTGAGAAATTGTAAACAATTTAAGTCTACCAATGCACTTCTTTGCATGTACTATTCTATTGTACGTTCAAAATTAGAATACGGTTCGATTATTTGGTATCCTCATCATATTAACAACTCTGATGCGATAGAGAAGGTTCAGCGAAAATTTCTGAAATACCTTTATTATAAAACATATAAAATTTACCCTGAACGTGGCTTTGACCACAACACTTTACTAAAAGAATTTGGTATTCCTTCCCTTGCCTCACGTCGATTTATCTGTACAATTATGTTCTTATTTAAGCTTTGCAATAATTCTATAGACTGTCCTCATATTCTCAATCAACTATCCTTTAATGTTCCAAGGCTATCTTCGCGTTCACAATTATTTTTCAATTATCCTACCCCTAAATCTAATTCTCTCTTAAATTCGGCAATTTTACTTATGTCCTCTAACTTTAACTTAATTAATAATGAAATAGATATTCACAACACTTTACCTAATCAAATAATCTCCATCTGCACAAGTTAATCTTTTTATTTTCTTTTCAATTATCTCATTATTTTCTTATTCTGTTTATAAATATTATTGTTACATTCTGCATTATATGTAATTTTATCTTAAGCATTTTATGTTACTAACTATATATTGTAATTTTGTATATATTTTAATTGTTATCCATTATGTAAAATAATTGTATTTTTGAGTCCTCTTGGAGAAATCTGTGGGCTATATATTTAAATAAATAAATAAATAAAAATAAATAAAAGATAATGATATTGCAAAGGAAATTGTTACTTGGAATTGCGTAGTTATATTTGGGATGTTGTAAGGGGGCGTCGATTAATCACGTGTGCCATAAAGGGGCTTTGACAAAAAAATCACGAAATATCACGTGGGGAGATTAGGGTCTAGTAAGATATCACGTGTATTTATTTTTTACAGCAATTTTAAAATAAATCCAAAATTACTCACAAAAATTTCAAAAATGGTACGATTTTTTTTAGGTATTAAAATACACGTGATGTTTGGTAAGGAAAGGGGGGTAATTTTGAAAATGACCACGGGGGGTCCAAAAATCCTCAGAAATCGCTCACGTGATTAGTAGACGCCCCCTTATTCAACGTGAATAATGAAAAATCTCATGAATAAGTGTTTGAAATTTTTATTTTTTTTTGTTATTTATATATATACATTATTTTCATATCTGTCAGGCAGAGGTGCCTGGTATGAGAGATCATGAAAAACAGTTTTCATATTTTATATATACATTTCATTTGACTATTTCATTAATATAATATCTATTATAAATAAAATATCTTTATATATAACTCTTCAGTCTTCTTTGTCTTCAATTTCCTTATAGTGTTTCTTCATTTTTCTTTTAAATTTATCATCATCGTTGGTCATCTTAATATCGTTTGGCAATTTGTTATATATTTTGCTAGCAGTCCATATGACATTTTCTCTCAAATTCTTCTTTCTGAAATTTGACGATGGTTTTGGTATATTTTGGGTAGAAAGTAGATTTACTCAAAATACATTAAAAACTATACGTGCCAAAAACAGAAGCAGAAATAATATGTTAAGATTTTAATATATATTCTCTGTTTTTTTTTAATTAATATTATTTTTATAAAAGTATATTTCTAATCTATCGTTTTTAATTTAGTGGCAAGCAGATGAATCTGCTGTACGTGCTGGAACATGTACATTTGCAGTCAAATATTTGGGATGCGTCGAAGTTTTCGAATCGCGTGGAATGCAAGTTTGTGAGGAGGCCCTTAAAGTATTAAGGGTAAGTTAATGATAATTTGTATTAAAAATTAATATCCGACAAAGCAATTTACTTAAATTTTAACTAACAAAAAGAATTTGTTTAAAGTAACTAGTATAAATTATTATTAACTATTTAAAACGCTGTAGCAAGAAATCAAATTCAACCCTAAGTATTTCAAGTCTATACAATGTTGTAAATTAGTTACTTGTCTATCTGGTTTTATGTCCGAGAATAAATCTAAATTTGTCTTAAATGTGTTTACAATTACATGTCGTAGTACACAAGCAATATTGGTTTTCACCACGCATAAAGTTCTTCGAATGAAATATCATTATAACGAAAAATAATATTGTTCTTGTTTTTTCCTTTATTTTACAATTTTCACTTACGCTTTGCGACACAGGATGAAGTCAACGATGAAGTAAGTTTGTCGACACTTTGAACAAACCTTTTGCCATGCATTTATCTACTATGCATCTTGAAATAAATCATGAATCTATTGAAGTGTCCTTCTTCATGCTTGTATTCACCCGTAATTGTTAATTTATTACCTACAGCACTGTATCACAAACACTTTGGTGCACTTCTGTATAATATTTTTTTTCAAGTTTTGGCAAAATTTGATTTGACACGAATTTAAAATTGAAAATATATATCTATACTTATATTTATATTTATAAGGGTTTACAATAATTCAAAATATCACAAATTTTGTGCAAACAGACGAGGACGAACAAATTTTTGATTTCAATTGGCTCTTTACAAATTTAATTATGGTCTGAATATTTTTACTGAATATTTTATTTTTTCTACATATTTCAATTTATTTGTTTTACAATTCATTTTATTTTAAATCCGATTTGTTTAAATAATTCGGTGTTTTATAAACAACCTTATCACATAAATTTAAATATTTACTTTATGTTTCAAGTGCAAATATGATATTTAAAGTTTTGTCATAGACAACGTGGGGCGATTTTGTTAAATATTTGTTTATAAATTAAATTTATTTTAATTTATCCTAACGCATGTTTCTTGTATCAATTATATACACATTAATTGATTGAAAAATCAATTGCACAATTAAGCACTTTTGCACACACAGAGAACTATCATACATTTGTGTTTCTAACTCAGGAGCATTTTCAACCAAAAATTTTTGATGTTGCATAAATATCGATCAGACTTTTCAATTTACATTTTGCTAATAATTACCAAACAATTAGGAAATAATATTTGTTTGATTTATTAATATATTTGTGTTCATTTTTGCGGTGATTTTTGGAATAATTTTCATATAAAATAAAGTGTAGACATAGATTGTATTGCCATCATTGTACTCCGAAATTGCGGAGTCGACAACATCAAGAATTTTCATAATATGTTTGTAGCGCACTACCTTCACCATTTGTGTGTACCAACCAAAATTATGAATTTGTTAGCTAATATCGAAAATAATATAATTACTAATAGATTGTTTCTTTAAATTTAGAACTCCAGGCGAAGAGCAGTCCGAGCAGTTCTGCATGTGAGCGGCGATGGTCTTCGTGTTGTGGAAGACGACACAAAAGGGCTGATTGTTGATCAAACAATTGAAAAAGTCAGCTTTTGTGCTCCAGACAGAAATCATGAACGAGGATTCAGGTAGGATAATAAATCAACTTGAATGATACAACTAACCTGATACTAGCGTCAATTAGCTTTCAATGGGCAAATGTGAATAGATATATTTATCTATAAGTGCAATTGGTTCACGATAATGTTGTGCCAATATTAAATATATATTAGTGTCATACCTCGAGAGCAATCGATATGTGTACACATAACTCCGATTTGATATGATTCAAAGGGAGAACGAACATTTTTATACCTGTTTTGGTTAAGAATGTTTTTATTACAACGTTATCTTTTGCTTATTCTAAATAATTGATAATAATTGAAGTGTTGACTATTCCTGTAGTGTTTGGTTTAAAAAAATCTGTAATTATTATTATTTACAAAATACAGTTACATATGCCGCGATGGAACTACACGGCGCTGGATGTGCCACGGTTTCTTGGCGATGAAGGAAAGTGGCGAGCGGCTGTCCCATGCGGTCGGCTGCGCTTTCGCCGCCTGTTTGGAACGAAAACAGAGGCGTGACAAGCAGTGCGACGTCACAATGACGTTCGATCATAAAAATAATACATTCACCCGCAGCGGCTCTTTCCGACAACCCAGCCTCACGGAAAGACTGGTAGGAGAATCGTCCAGCAGCGCAATTACCCAAAACGTGATTCCTGTGAAACCATTCAATCCATTTGCGATCGAACGACCTCATGCCACTCCGAGCATGCTGGAAAGACAAGGATCCTTCCGTGGGTTCGATCAGCTGAGCAACAATTCACCATTCAAGCGCCAAATGTCGTTGAGAATCAACGAGCTTCCGTCTAACGCTGAACGTCAACGTGCTTATTTGGATATTACGACACCAGTAAGACCGGCTGTTTCTCCGATACCAGAAGTGTCGCCGGCGGAATCTGTTAGTCAGATGTGTCAACAGCTCAGTATGGGGTTATCTTTACTCACTCACAGTACTTCAGACGACTTCAATTTCAACAAACAATCGTCTGTGAACCAGAATTCGGTACCAATAAAATCGCCACAAGAGGAGAGTCCTCGCAAGTCGGCGTTTGGTGCCGTAACTCCGATTACCACTGCGGCTACTACCATCAGTGAAGTCGCAGCACCAGTTGCTGCTGAAGGTTTACCAAAACCAGAGCAATGGCTTGGGCAGGTTGTGAATTCTACGATAGTGTCCCCCAAACAAACCCCCGTAGCCGCTGTTAGTCCCCGCCGAGCTCCCGGACCTATTCGCGCGCGTTCTCTGTGCACATCAGATGGTTACCCACGTTCACCTGATGATCCGTTTGATGCGGAATGGGCGGCCAATTTGGCTATCAGGCAAAATACCTCGCCTACTAAAGTTCCGACTACAACATCTACAAATCCTTTTCTATCCGGCAATTCTCCACAAGCATTTCAAGTGCAGTTGTAAATCTATTACTATTTTTATAGAAACTTGTTTTGTAAATAGTTTTCTAAACGATTACGCGGGATCATTTTTCAATCCCATATTCATGAAATTTTTGGATGACTAATATTTTTTAATTATTGCATTATGCAGAAAGTTTAGTAATTTTTAAAACTTTTACATTCGAAAGAGTATATTTTTTGAAACACTTCTTTACATTTTTGTAATATATTTGTATTTTTGTAAATATTTTTATGCATTTAATTAAAATATTAATTAACCCATTTGCTGATTGAATTTCTGATATCAGCTCTGGCTTAATAAATTTTTTGTGAAAATTATTAATCCTATAACATTGAAATTTTATATATTTTTTACAAATATCGTTTTATTATTCCTTTGAGAAGTTTTACTAGAACGACATAAATACGTATAGCATATAACTATTATTACAATTTCTCATTATAAAACTTTGAGGAGTTTTAAAGAAACTTGAGTAACAATTATCATTGGAAATTTATATATTAAAACTAAGAAGTCATCTATTTATGGAATCGAAGACAAAGTAATTACTTTGTTTCATGGTATTGGAAAAAAATATTGCAGTACTTAATTTCGATCTCAATTTTGGAGACACATTCACATTTAAGTATTAATTTCATGATAAAGTATTTATAATAACCTAATAGTATCTCTAGAAACTTACATGTATATTCAGGACACATACTTTTAGCATAAATGTGTTTAATATAGTCATGTTAATGTCTAGTAAGTATTTATGAGGACTTCATATATAAAGCGCAATTTGCATTGGTGTATTACTGGAATGTTTTCGATTAAATTACATATTCCAAATATTAGTACTTCTTAAAAGCTTTAATTGTAACCACTTTGCAAATGAGTCTTATTTTAGGCTTTACATGTTGTGACCATGAAAAATGCAGTTTAAAGCAAAATATTCACCTGGATTCCGTAGTACTAAATTTAAATGCATTTGCCAGGACCTTGTGCAATTACATAGCATTACTTCTAGTATAAAATGCACCTATTGATGTGTTCCCGCACTTTTAAACCATTAAGTGATAAACTATTCAAATTATAAGAAAAAAATAAATAGTATGTCAGAATATCGCATAAGTTTCTGTTGGTATTTATCGAGTGCGCTTAGAATTTGGAGATACATATATGAAATATAATGTATATAGGAAAAGTATCTCATGCTTGTATTTGCATTTATGGATTTTATGAAGTGATTATAATAATTTAAATATTTAAAATGATCAAGAAATAATTACTTGATTTAACAGTAACTCACATAGTTAATCCATTTGTATGGTATTGTGCATAGATAAGAACGAATAAAGCTATTGATAAAGTGATAAATTTATCTATAGTTCTCATAAAGAATAAGTATTCTCAGATATAACAAGGCAACGGTTATGCGGCACAGCTATAAAATACTTCTTTCTTAATTAATTTTTATATTTTTATGTAATTTGTATTAATAATTGTGTATAAATATATGTCTATAAATTTTACTCGGCCAGATATCTTTACTTTATTTTTGCAAAATTTATAGAATGCATTAGGATTAAACTATTTATTAACATAATCTTTAATCTAAATTATAATGTACTTAAAATTTGATATATTAGATAAATTATTTTGAAGATGTACTTTTTTATTATATTACTTATTACTTATAAACAATGACTTCTATAGATTCTATATTCATTAAATTTATTTGCATTTAATGTTCAATAAAATTATCTCGAAATTGAATATTTAGGTATATTTGGTTATAGGGATTTATTAAAAAGTAAATAAATGTATATATTGATAATGTTAAAAATTATATGAAAATATAAATTTAATTTGTTGATAAATTAAGATTATATATATCCATGTATTTAGATATATATTTTCATTATAATTATTCTTCATATTAAAACAACAAATTGAAATTTTTATGAAACTTATGGAATTTGTTAATTAGATTTGTTTAACATATTTTATTTTTTTTATTTTATAAGTTACTCAACATTAAATTGAAATATTCTGATTTGTATGAAATTAGATAAAATGGAATGTGATGAATAATTTAATAAATATCCCACAATTTAATTACTCTATTAATCAGTTACAATTAAATATTAATTTTAAAAATTAAACAAGCATTACTATATTTGTTTTATTGGTATGTTACAAATATATTTCAAAATACTGAACAAATAAATGCTTTTAATCAGTGAAATTAAAACATTGTAGCTGACACATTCAACATTGATTATTTATAATTGTAATCACACTTATCAATATTAAATTCGATATTTGTTATTTAAGTCTAACATGGCTCTCGAAACTTTATAGGACAAAAAACATCAGTTTGTTATAAAATATTTCTTCCCACCATTATCAGAAATGTGTAAGGCTATCAGTCAGGCTATAAGATCACAATACATTTAATATAACTAAACTATTATATTACAGTTTTACTTTATATTTACATGCAATATCATTAAACTTATAAGTTTGTGTTTTTATCGGCTGTATCTGTATTTGCATCAATGACTATTTTGCTACATGTGTCAGACCAGACAGCCGCAGCATCTCTGAGGAATAGAAATACATTTAAGATAATAATAACATACATATATATATATATATATATATATATATATATGTATATATATATAATAATCCTTGCAGCAATTTCTAGACTCTCACATGCAACCTGAACTTGCCAAATTGTTTTCAATTTGGCAGCACTTGAGTTTTTAGTTAGGCAAAAATTTTGTTGTTGTAATCATGTTGTACAATTGACAAACAAGTAAGAAACATAATAGAATTAATAATGCCACATGGTTTTCATATCAAAATATATACCTATTAAGTTAGTGTTAGTGTATTCTTAGTGTATTTTAAAATATGTGTAAGACATTTCTCACCTTGTGCATTTCTCTGGTAAAGTGATGGCCTGCCACCATAATAGTACATTAAGAAATATTGACCATGTTCTCAAGGGGCCGATAATGAATGCCAATGTACCATAAGCCAACCAGAAGAAATAAGCCAGCAGCATTTGTATACTTACAATTAATATAAATGGAATGTGGTTTATGACTAGACGGATTAAAGATCTTGTGTGCTTCAGACCGCTTGTGCTGCTGAGTTGATACTGCAGCCTAAAAAAGTAAGAAATAATTTCATAATATTATATATATATATATATATATATATATATATATATATAATTTTAATAAGTACCGTTTATCAACACAATTAGCTAATATCAATGTCATTGGAAATTGACATAGAAACATTTGTAGATATCCATAAAAGTATGTAAATGATCCCGGTAGAAAAGATCCATTCACAACAATCCCCCAAGCAAAAATAGCGCCCAAATGCCCTTCAATTATTTCTCCCACACTCCAGGGTCCGCAGGTTAAATATATTGGATATGCTATGAGGGGATAATATATCCTATCCACAGATGCTAAAACCCACAATTTGCGCATCCATAAACAAAGGATAGATGATCGATTCATTCTAGGTGGCCTCATTCGGCCATCTGAAAATTAAAATAAAAGTGAAATCTCTTCATTAATTCATATTACATTTCTTAAGTAATTCTTCTTTCTTTCATATATACATATGAGATATTTACCTTTCACAAGACGGTGAAAAAGACGAAACAAACACAGTGGCACAATACACATGACTAGCATAAACGCAAACATGAACTGAAACTGTAGCATTTATTTGAATGAGATCTATATTGTAATAATTTTGCAAATTGACATATTTATTTATACTTACAACTTGACTGGCATTACTCATAAGAATAAAACGTGGCAAAAGATCAAAACTCAATCTAGTTCCATCTAGTGAAAAAGGTTGTGATATTGTTTGTATTCGACCATCCTCATCTTCAACTTCCACATGTATATGATGCAAACCTTTTTTATAATTTTCAGCATTCCACTTGCTTACAAATAATGGACCTATCATAATAATTTGATAATTTATATATTTTAGAAATGATCATTATGTTTTCCTTTGCCAGACTCAAGAGTTAATCGATTCTTAAGATGGTGATTGTATTACCTTTAACATTTTTGGCCTTAGTCCATGGTTGTTCATTTATTCTTACTTTAACATGAGTAATTTTTCCAATAGAAAATGCCAGAAGCCGGATGTGTGTTGATAAAGCCGATTGTTCACTAGCAGCTGCCTCACGTTTTGGCATTGCATATAAGGCATGTTTAGGATTCGTAATTAATATTAATGGCCAACGTCCGTGGGGTGCATCAATGAATGAAAATAACCCATGATCTATAGCCATCAAACGAATCCTGAGAAATATATCACAAATTAATTTCATTGTGGTATCTTATAAAGTTAAAGTAGTGCTGTTAGTACATTCGATTATCTTTCCAGTCACCAAGTTCTAATTCTAAAAAACCTGATTTTTGATTGTGTGCATAGTGGGTACTAATCCACCCATTCTATGTAGGTGTCCACAAAGGTACGCCATAGATTCTGTATATCTACCAATTAAGGAACGAACAGAAGACACCCCGCCTGGTGCAATTATACATGATGTTGGGTAGTGCCCAAACCTTCAATGAATAATTTACCAGCAATTAATTTATTTGACAAATTGATTATAATATCCAAATGATTACATATATATTTTATTTCATTTCAAGCATATATTCATAAATGAATTAATTTGGTGTTGAAGAATGAAAAATAAATTATTACCAAATTGTATAGTTTCCCCCACTTGCTCTAGCTTCTTCTGCTAGTTTTATTGCATACTCTGATTCAGCCTTTGTTATCATTCCAACAAAATTAAAAGGTCTTCTTGGGCCAGGAGTCAAAGAAGCATCCAAGGCTATAAATGAATACTTCTCATTGCCAAGACTAATCTACAATAATGAAAAATGAATTTATAGATTATACACTAAAACCATTAACAGATCAATCAATACCTGATGTAAATATGAACGTTTGTGAATTCTTCCTTGTACAGAGTAATTGTAGTAATAGTTTTGCTTTGAATCGACCCCAGCTATGTTAAAATTATCTGAAAGTAATAATTCATGTAGATATTTTTACAATTTAGTATAAATTTAGTTATTTATCATACCATGGTTGCCTCTTATATCCAACCACTTCGTTTTTGAAAGAACTTTAGTCTCTTCTAAAATATTTCTATAATATTCCCATTCCTTCTCAAATTGTCTTGAACCCATATTATTTTTTGATTTGGCATCTGTTAAGTCTCCACTTGCTAAAACTACAATCGGTTTTATAATGTCAACAGTTTTATGACAAAATTCTCTCAATTCACTAATTCTTGATGGATCATGAAATATGCTGATGTGTATGTCAGATATCTATAAAGAAAAAATCTAAATGCATCGTTTTGAATAAAAAATTTAATATTGTAATTTACTTCTTAATTTCTTGAGATTTTTAAATTTTGATTTAGAAATGAGTGTTTTATAACAAACCATTTATTATCATTTAATATTTACTCATTCATCTATTTTAAAGAGAAAAATCCATTATTGATTTTGGTTTAGTTAAAATTCAATCAAATATATACATATGTAAAAGTATCACAATATGAATGTATATATATATATATATATATATATATTATAATAATATTCAAGTAAGCTAATATTATTTTAAGTTATAAATACATAAAATAAAACAAACTACTTACTTGTAGAAACCATATGAGATGATCAGCAGAATCTTTAATAGGAAACTGTTTTTGTGTTTGAATCCATGGTTGATTCCTTTTCTCGTAAACATCATATTCTTGCAACTCATCATTTACATTCACTAAATTCGCGACGTTCGCAACTAATATAGAGAATATTAAAATAAATAATAAGAAAAAAATTGCTGATTTTGATATTCTCATTTTCAAAAAAAAAAATAGGGTTATAACATTTTTTTTTCAAATATTAAATCATATTTCTAATGAGAAGATAAACTTTTGAGTATTACGAATTTAAATTTTTATTTTCGGTTGTACTTATAATTTTGATAATGTATTTTTAAAAGTGCAATGATATGATAAACGTCAAAAGTGACGTTTGTTTGCAATTGTTACGATAATAATCTGACCTGACTGTTGCTTACAGCTAACTTCACGACCATTATTGTCTAGGCTTCGTGACCGCTATTTTTGAAAACTAACGTATCAACTTCA